CTCATATCATTATACTCGGGGTGGTGTCAGGTACCACACCAGTCGCGTCATCTGTCAACGGAAGCGAGTGACGAGCACGTGATATGGCACCTTGTGGTCGCCCACAAACGCTGAGCAAGCCTAAGAACCTGCTCAGTAGCAACCGCGCGGGTCGACTGTGTAGGTACAAGGCCTCATTCACTTCAGTAAATTCGATTAATGCGACTAAAACGATACACTCATCCGAACAACTCTTGACCGTGGGGAGTCCCATACATCCCGAAATTCCAGCTGGGTGGTTCCTTCCAGTCTAGGCACGGCACAATGTTAACTTTTTAAATAAATAAATAACCTATTGAATTGCATTGCGAACCTTGGATGTCAATCTTCAGTGTTTTTGCGACCATTGCGGCCATTGCGTGAGCATCTGGGATGTTGTCACCTTCGGCGACAAACTGGACTAACGCAACACGGGGTGGACTAGATCCAGGTGCAGATAGGAGTCTCCGTGCGAGGCCCGCTCCCGGAATTACCACGTCTTGAGCGCCCACGCTATCGGCGAAGGATGGTAAACCAAGTATACTACCGAGAGGTGTGGCCGAAATATCTCCCTTGGTTGTGTTTTTGGAGAGGGCATGGTAGTAGACCGAACTAACGTGGACACCATGAAGATCTAGTGAATCTAGTCTGAGACTTACTGACCTCATTTGAGCATCCGTCCTAGTTGAAAGATCAGAACCAACCAGGTAAAGCACGGTTCTGAAACCACTAGATTCAATCATCTCCAATAGTCGCTGAACGAATTCCTCTTTGTGATCCTGGGTGGATTGAATTACAGTTAGTCCCCGGCATGTTGCACTCAAATTTAATGGACGAGAGGAAAGAACCTTGAGGACCGGCGATCGTTGCTGCAATACATAAACACCACCGCCTAGCGAGCCGAACACTACTTGCTATGGGAAGAACCTGATACGAAATATGCAACGATGGCGACAGACGTACGTTCCATCGGGACGGTGACGCCGGCATCGACTGGACCGTCCGGACCGCCAACTACGGGCACATGGTATGCAGGATTAAACACGCCAATTCGTTGGAGTGCGAGCGTATGGATGAGTAGGTCTGCTGACAACTGGGAGACATTTCCAGCAGAGATGACCGGCTGACAAAAGCAGGTGTGGTTTGAGTCTGGTAATCGTCAGATATAGTCGACTGACCATGATTAAAATAGAACTAGAGGTCTGAGTCGGCAGCCCAGGTCCGCCTCCGGACAATCTGAAAAACGAACGTGGTCCCTGCATGATGGTGGTCAGGAGACACCGCAAAAGCCCGGCGCCAATCAGAGTTGTGGCTGTCCGTGAACATGGTCTGTTCCGGACCACAACCACCATAGTCAGGCCGGTTTTACGACCGCGTTCGCTCAGCACACTAGCTATCTCAGCCCATACGCCCGACTTCCACGTGGTTTTCATTGAGAGACACGTGGGTCCCAGAGGCAGAATGCTAGTACTCTGCGATCACTGGGAAGAAATTACTTTTGTTGCTTTGGCGCCGGTTGTCATATCTACTCCACCGCGGCCACAGCGACGACCAGCTCATTTTCGTCATCCTCTTGGCTATGTTTGACCTAGACCAGCGCCCTCCACTGCGCAGATACAGACTACGTTCCTAGGCTAGGCGGTTCCACCTTATCTCACATGCAGGCACGGTATCGGCGCCCTTATGATCTAACGACTGCCCTCGGCCATTTCTGGGGATCTGCAGCCTCAGGAGTTACGATCAGATGGGGGTCAATTATTGCTTTGGGGCACGTGCTGATGGCGTCGTATCCGAGAGGAATCATCCAGTCGCTAGCTTTCGCCACGCCGAGTACTACAAGTGGACGGCACACGACGCCCTTCATAATCTATTTCCTATTCGTTTGCCCCAAAGGTACGGTTGTCGGACTACTCGCTCTGGGTTGAATACATGAGATAGCGTCTGCTTGGTGCCTCCGGCAACTGGGAATTGTCATATCAACCAATTAGGAAAATGCTCGCTATCATCGTTAGGTTCATTAATGAGAGAAGTGAGGCTCGTCTCCCAGCTTAGAGCCGTAGATCTTGCTCATATCCACTTGCGTTATTTCTCCTTTGTCTCAGTAGGCTACAGTTGACCATTTGGATGGTGGTGTTATGGGATAATGTCATTCCGTGAGGCCCCGCCCCGTTCCAGGTTCATGACCTCCTTGAGAACGATCGGGCTTATACTCATCGTCCCACGACATACACAACCAAGTCATCACTCGTACGAGGATCCCCAGAACATGGTTCGATGCCGTGGGTTCACGAGAAGCCGCCCCGCTCGCGTGGCCATAGAAAGGCAAAGCCATGAGATCTGACTCTGCACCAGCAAACATCTCCCCTGTGCCGATCCAGTAGCGCCACTTTCGCGCCTATCCATTCTCTAACATTACACAATCCTTGATCTGTACCCTCTTTGATATCATTCGCGGCGTTTCTCGCCACTATTTCTTTAGCCTCGCGAACTGCTGGCTTGACTTCCACCGCTCCTTCATCTCGCAATCACTGTTACACAAACTACCACTGTCGCTTCTATAAATTAGCCCTCCTCTATACGAGCACTCCTCGCCTCTCCTTTTATCATGACGTCTCGCTATTGGGATGAAGCCACTGGCGGAGTCGTCCACTATGTACACCCCTCGCAGAGTGACGACCCGTCTCGTTCGTCTGGCTACGACTCCGACGATTCGGAGGCGTCCAGTGGCTCTATGACCACTATAGGCTCGGATGAAGCTGGCGGTAAGCATACACCCCACACATCCCAAACGACACCTTTACTCACCCTATTACAGAATACTTTCGCGAGCTATTTGGTCGCCGGTTTCATGTGGACGAAAACCTTCCTCTCGCTTTCCCCGTCGATAACGAGGAGCTGCTTCGCCAGGACCTTCAACACGCTAGCCTCAAGTTGCTACTGGGGGGGAACCAGTGGGGACCGATCACAGAATGCCTTGCGCCCATCCGGGGCCGTAGAAGGCGTGTGCTGGATATATGCACGAGGTCTGGAACATGGTATGTTTCCCTGCCTTGTGCATCACTTTTGGGTCTGAAATCTGACCATACATGCGTTCAGGGTCAAGGAACTAGCCTCCGAGCGACCTGATGTGGATTTCGTGAGCGTCGACCTCGCGCCGATGGCACCTCATACCCCAAATGCAAACATAGAGTTCGAGGTGTACAACATATTGGATGGTATCCGAGCTCAAGACGCCACGTTTGATATGGTGCACTGCCGTTTTACGATGACGACGGTGAGACATCCCACGCTTGTTATTTTCCCTTAGCCATCATCGATCACTATCCTTCAAATGGGCATGCGCAGTTTTCACCTGCCTTGCTGAATCCTTCCTTAGGCGGCCATCCGTTCTAAATTTTCTTACTCACATTCCATTCCTGTAGTTCCGAGACTATCGAGCCTTTCTTCCAGAAATTCGCCGTGTGCTCCGCCCAGGCGGGCTATTCCTTTTCGGAGAGCAAGAGCTCGAAATATTCGACGCGTCTGACCCTCAACTTGTCCGCCCGGCAACCAACGCTCCCGGCCTAACGCGTTTCGTGCGAATTATTCGACGCGAATTCGAACGCCAGGGCATCACTGCACGGGCGGCAACACAGATGCCAACGTGGCTGGACGCATTGGGCGGATTTCAACCTGCTATGCGAGACATGCGAGCGGCACCCAACGGCCTATGGCATCCCCACCCACTCATGCACGACGTTGGTCTAATGGGGGCCCGGGTGTGGAAGGCAACGACCCTCAGTCTCCGACCGATGTTACAGATGTCGGGCATGCCTCTACCAGATGCCGAGGCTCTCACACAGGCCGTTCTACGGGATCTCAGGGATCCTAACATTCAAACAGTGACCAAGTGCCACATGGTGTGGGCACGCCGGAGCGAGTAATCCTGGACCCGGTAAACCTTAATATGGATTGAACTTAGATTTGGTATTGAATATGAACTTGCTTTCTTTATTTTGATTTTTATTCGAACACTTCTTGGCTGTATTTAATGTGCGCGGCTGTAGCTACTCCTAAACTTCGGACTCTCATATACTTCGACTTTATTGATTGGACGTTATAGATTTGATTGTACATAGAATTCGCCAGTTTTCGTCCTCAATAGTATCTTGATAATCCGATGAGTCTAAAGCAGGAAGTTGAATTGGTCTGCTGGGACAAACTTCGGGTCATGACGAAACATCTGACGTGCTAACGATTACTTACCCATCCAATCTTCCGATGCTCTATCAGAAGATATTGCGCCCGGGTCGGGCCCGCCAGCGTTAAGGACTAGTATCAAAGATGAACCGAACCTGTTTTCAGATTTATATTCTCTGCAGAATTTAGGCGAAGCGGAGATACACATCGGTGATGTATGCGCCTGAAGGCAGAAACTCGCCACATACCTAGCAAGGTTCCAAGGGAGTTATCACCCAAATCACTGGGCAGCTAGAGTAGATCTTATTGGAACACACCAAGCCTCTGGGCAAACGTCGAGTGGTCCTTGCGGTACCGCCAGGTAGCACCTTACATATTCCAAACACCATTGTTTATTCCGATGATACTCACTCGAGAACTAACCCGTAGATCGTTAAATGACCACGGCTGACCGGTGACTGAAACAATGTGGCACCTTGGGTGAGTCGGCCCCGAAATACTGGGCCAATATTGGGTGATGTTTATGGGCCTCGCGAAAGCTGTCTCTTGCGTTACCTTTGCGGGCAGGCATCCTCGGCTATCACTGGCTATGTGACCGGTTGGGCCGAACAATTCGGGGCGTGAAATGTGAGTTGGGCGTGCGAGGCACAGCGCTAAAAATCAGCGGCAAGTCCGCCACCCGATCCACACAAGATTAGGTGTGGCAGGATCACACTCGGTAGAAAGCTGATTAGGTGGTTTAATTTCGGGAAAAATGAATATTCCACCGCCGTACTGGTACGCAAAGCACCATCAATCAGCAAGCCTGGCTAGCTCAATCGGTAGAGCGTGAGACTTTTACGAATCACTGATCGAAGTGCTCTTCATCTCAAGGCTGCGGGTTCGAGCCCCGCGTCGGGCTTCTTTTTGGGCCCTTAGGCTTGATCGACTGGGGCCGACAAAAATCCTCGAAATAGCATACATACCACCGCGCCAGCTGGCCAAGTATGATGGTACTAGGTAGCTTTTGGTTCGATCGACTTGTCCTCTTCAATCTGAGGAACCGACACTAGAGGGTGTTTCAGCATCGCCCATCCAAGGGCCAACAGTGTGTCAAGTACGCCGCTGGTCGTGAAGTGAAACACGGTCGTGGCGTGTTACGCCGGTCTTTTATCGCTATATATATGATTCTAGTATATTATCGGCCGAGCCAAAATAAACAACCAGCCTCTGGGAAAAATGAACAAGACTGAAACAAGAGTGACTCCCGAGTCCAAAATAGGTCAAACCAGGATAATGAAGAAACGCCACAACTGCCGTTGTTTCGCCCCCCATTTAGTGGCATCCAGCGCCCACTACACTTGACCGACGGGGCGGACCACATCCGGATAATGCTCGCGAATGATCTAGCAACGGAACACGAGGACGTTTTATCATCCGGTCGGGAAGATAGAGGAACAATAAATGGCAATCAGCTGCCAATGGCGTAAACTAGGCGGCATTCACTCACCTCGAACAGCCCTGGTGAACGCTCCGCCAGTACTTGGGGATCTTCACCCAGGCCGACAAAGCTGCAGGATAAACTTTCAGCATCATCTCAATCAGACAGGATATTTATCAACAACTCACATAGTTGACACACCAGCTTCGATGGCAGAAGCGAGTGTTAGAGCTATAGTAAAGCGTTAGTCCCGATTATGGCCATATGTCGGAATTGTCTCTGGTAGTAACGCACAGCATTGGAGGCCAATTACGAACGCAAATAGTAAGACGGGCGCCGTATATTGTCCGTCGGTATTATACGATGGGTGTGTCAAACGCAGGTATAGGTAAGCGAATAGGCTGCACAGGAGGCCAACGAGGTAGGCGCCCCAGGTCATCGCTGAAAAAAGGGTATGATGAGTTTGCTTGTGAATTAAAGCAAGTACCGAGTAATTATCACGCACCCATTCCCGTGAGCGAGTCGTTAATGAGTACGTCGATCCCACGGTCTTTAAACAGGCGCCAGGTGTCTTTAGCGGCGGGGATGTAAGGTTTACCATACAGTCCTACAAAAGTCATTCAATCACTCAGAATATGGGAAGGCGCCAAAAGTGACAATAGAAGGAGCGGGAATACATGAATAGGGGGCAATCCAGGCGCTTACCAATTTCAATATATGCATATCGGTTGAAATACTCCACCAGAGACTCAACGCAGCCCACAAAACACGCAGCACAACACGCTAAAGCAGCCTCTACGGCTAAACGGCCGCCATATCAGTCCATTTGGATCGGCCTAAACACAAGAGGCCACTCACGACTTCCGCTCTCGGCGGCGTTTGCCCGAACTGTATTCAGGATGAGACGCAGCAACTCCAGCAGTGTGACAATCAGCGACCCGAATGCAATTGAACCTAGGGAGAGGGTCGAGGCGCGCGCGAACGCAGCAAGAGCCGGATTCTTGGGCTGGCAAGTTGTGCGTTAGTTCAGATTCCGTAGTAGAGTAGGTGAGTAAATCGATACCATCATTCCCATGTTGTCGGGTCCAAAGTAGTACCAGCCTCCGTACGGCCCTCCTGCCATAGTAGCAAGGCAAACGTTACCCACGACCTGAGATGTCCAGAGATAGGAGAAGAGCTCGAAAAAGACAAGCCCGGCTACAGTTCCTGAGGAACATGAGGGGCCATTTCCGCAGGCTGCGTGAATATCAAGTTAGTACCGTGGATATAGACGACAGATGAAACATCACGGAGCGGTAATAAACGTTTAGGGGGCAAGCGGCTATATTGGAAGCGGCAATAGGGGGAAGCTCACTCACTGTTAGCATCCGGCGTCCACTTTGCATAAGTTGCAATAGCGGTAAAGACAAACCAGCTGCACGCAGAGAAGTATTCCGGCGACAGTGAGACGCCACATCGTCAGAAGCGAACTGTACGATTCGAACAAATTTCGTCACTCACACACTCAGGGCAGCCTGTACAATCAGTCCTGTAAATGCAACGATATACACGCTCTTGTGGTGCTTTGAGACATCCATCACGACCTAGACGACAAAAGAGCGCGGTTAGAACGTAAAGGTTATTAAGGTTCAAAGCTAGTCAGCACCGAGCGGCTCGTCCAATTTTGATCAGACTCCGATTAAGTGTAAGGATCGGGGATGGCTCATATCCCGTGATGGAGCAATCCAGGGATCAAGGGGAGAGATACTTACTTGGAGCATGAGGCTTGCGAGAGGAATCCGACTCCGCATGCCGAAATAAGCAAAAATACCGAATACCGCAATGATCGTGAAAATGATTGCTCCAGAGTAATACGCAGTGACCCAATAGTAAACAGCGATAGCTATGGTAACAGGGTCATGAATCAGTTTGACCAAAAAATCACCAAGTTTCGAACTAACCAATATTGGCAGCTACGCTCAAGGCCAGCGTGATTTGAAGAATAACACTCGTGAAGGCTCGCACCAGCATCAGGTAAATAGTCGACAGTAAAAGTGCGCAAGCTGTTACGAGCAAAAGCAGGTAAACCGTATGGCTGTAAGCAATCCCAATTATGTAGATTCAGGGTGGTAAAATCAAGCAATAAGGCGATAGGAGGTAGGCGAACATGCGGAGGATCGGAAGTCAGGAAGTCAGTTTAGACTGTGCACGAACAGAAGCAGGCACGCACGAGTTTAGGGTAACGTTTGTTCCGCTATGCTGACTCCCGCCCACACCACCACTGGACAGGGACCCGTTCGAAACCCAGCTGTTCAACGCAATTCCAGATACAGCCGCGAATCCAAGGAACTGTGTAAATAGGGTTAGCACAATTCTGCGCCGCTTTACTATAACAGCCTCGTGACGCTTACTTGTGCAACAAACAAAATCAAGAACGGTATATCATGCAGCTTGTTTTTTGGCCTGAATCTCTCCCCATACTCGTCTGTCTTGGCCTTGTAGTCATTAAGTCCGACCACCGGAGGGTTGATCTGTGTGGCGTATGGCTGAGACGGGGGAGGGTACTGGCCACCAGCGCCTTGCCACTGGTTGGGCCCAGCATTCCATTGTCCGTTGTTGGGACCAAACCCCTGCTGAGGCGGGCCTTGCTGGTTCCAGGACATGGGATATCCACAAAGAAAGGCTCTGGGATTTAGGGTGCAAGTACGAACGTGGCCAAGAAGAAAAGTTTAGACTCTAGTTGCGCGAAAACGTGGGTCCTGAATTCTCGACAGAGGTGACGTCAAATGTCGTTAGGTATATCGTAAACCCAAGAGATTTAGTCAAGCAAAACAGGCGCAACTGCAAATGCGGTTTCGTACAGCTGCTTGTGCGATCCGTGATTGAGCAACCAACGCTAGAGGGCAAGATGGTGATAGGGGTGGCTCAGCTGCAAGGTCAACACCTGTCCACCGTCTGACATCACGTGGCCATGATGCAATATTTGCACCGGGGCCGGTCTTCATTTCAAACAGAAGTCTGAAAACCTCTTATTGAGGACATTTTCCCAACGAAGAAGAAAGAGTTAATAATAAATGCACCATGCTCTATTTTTGGGCCTCTATGCGTCATGTTTGCTGGGAACAAGAGTTCATTAAATCGCTCCCGAAAACTGAATAATGCATTTCTTGCACTTTGAACGTTTATCCATGTCTCCTCAGAGTTCTGAACTGATCAATTGGTTATGCCGCCTCAAATATTACCACACGGTAGTATAGCTGCAACACTACGATACTCAATTGGTCGACGCTTACACCGACTTCAAGTAATGGCGTTATTGCTTGAGCATGGTGTTTCAGAAATGGTTTGACTCGCTGGTACGCACCTAAAAACCTATTTGTATCTACTGAAATACGAACATTCTATTCCTAACTTGGCACCATCTTGTTGCAGAGGCTGAAACAACCTCTGCACAGTAAACCAATGAGTTTTAACCTCTTCAAAGAAAGCAAAATTCCGCGGAGCTCCAAGCCCGGTTAAATACTTCTAAACGCATAGGCTGAAGCCCACAAGTTTCGTGCGTTTACGACTTGCAATCAATGCTGCAAATGGTCTGATTGTTGCTGGTGCCGGTTCAGGGCCTATCACGTGACAGTCTTCGGGCGGCCTTAGCGACCCGGTCTCATGGGCCGAGTTCTCTTGACCGCGTCCACCATCGCCAGCTTCGCCTCTCTTTCTTTGTGTTTCTTTATTATTTTCTTTGCAGGCTCCTGGTAGAGTCTTGCCCCACTCGTTTTTTCTGCTTGAACACTTCAATTACTCTTTCTCAAGCCCGGGTTTTGACCTCGTTCACTTTGTTCAACTCGCACTTGGTTACTTGCAATAGCTGAGCAGTGCTCGCTGATTTGTCTACTTGGTTCATCACTCTCTTATCTTTCGTTATCAATTCTCTGAGTCAATATGGGAGTCTTCGTTTGGCACCAGTGGGCTCGTCTCGTTGCGCTTACAGCGGGAATCTGTGAGTTATATAAGTCTGATTGATGCTCGTACTGAGGCTAACTACTATTTTGATAGACGGTATGTGGGCCGGTTTCTGGGGCATTTTTTACCGTAAATTCTTCTGGGACTTTATTGGCGGGCACCTCGTTGGACCTGCCCCAGGCGCAGCAAACCCGTTCTCTGGGGGCATGATGTATGTACAACCGTTGCCACCCTTCTTTCATTACTCACATCGTCTTTCCTATTTGCAGTCCCGCCAAAAGTGCCGCTCCCTTCCTTGCCATCATCGTCACAGTGCCTGTTCTTCAAATCCTGACAATTATCATGAGCCTCACGCTTGCACTCCTCGAGGTAAGTCCTGCCTTCCCCCCCGTTCGTTCGTGCCAACCTCGTGTTTATTGTTCAATAACTTCCTATTCCGGACACGTTGTCACTCACTTTCAAATATTATTTTAAAACAGTGGCCGTTGCCAATTATGAAGAAATTGCCAATCTATCGGAGCTTTGTCTTTAGGATTGTATGG